AAAGAAGTAGACTGCCCAACCCTCCTTCCGAGGAGTGGCTGGTAGGTTTGAACCGCCAGCCTTCTGGTTAGCAGTCAAGTGCCTTAGGCACTACACCACCAGAGCTCCTTCTATGAAGTTAGTGGTTCTCAATTATGGCTGCATATCAGAAACACCTGTGGAGCTTTTACAACTATGAATGTCAGGCCCCACCCCACAACCAACTTTATCAGTATCTCTTAAGGTTACACCTTGACAGAAATGGGTTTTTTCTTTGAGGCAAAAGTTACATCACAGTGACACACACAAGTCTTCACGTACCATTTGATGAATTAGACAAGTACATATGCAAGCCAAATCCCAGCAAGATACAGAATATCATCACCACAGAAACTCCTTTCAAGCTCCTGGTCCAGTGAATCCCCACTGCCATCTCCCTGGCCTAGGTAACATTTGTTCTGATCATTTTCCATCACAGATATATATTCCTGTTCTTTATGTAATGGACACTGGTATTTTTTTAAAAGTTTCTCAGGTGTTTCTAATGTGCAACCAGAATTGATATACACTTAAGCAGGACAGCTAAATCTAAGTAGCACTTTGTTAAATGAGATATACATCTTCCCTGGAACAGTACATGAAGATAATACTTTAATGGAATTTCAGACAGTTTTCTATCAGATAAAGCTATGGTGTGGGTTATATTCATTTAACTACAATACTCATTCCATCATTCCCTTATTTCCTTTTATACTTTGCAGTAATAGTCAATTTTTTTTTTTTTTCCAGGCTCAGCTCACCAATTTTAATTGCACTTAGATGAAGAGAGATAATCTAGCAACCTGGCTAGGTTATCCTAATACAAAACCAGATTTTCATAGTCTAGTTTATTATTTAGTTTTGTGAAATTAAGGCCCTCAACTGGAACTCTGTGCTTTCAGAGTCTTCCCAAAAGGAAGAAAAAAACATGTTGCTACATGTGGTTATACTAAACTCACAATTCATTTAAAAATTTAAACAGATGTAAATCCAAATTAAAGTATTGCAAGAACAAGTAATATTCATGTAATAGCTATTGGAAAAGTTGTTGTTCTTGTTATGTGCCGTCGAGTTGGCCCTGACTCATAGCGACCCCTCCTTGGATTTCCAAGGCAGTATCACTATGGAAGGAGATTGCTCGGCCTTTCTTCCAAGGAGTGGCTGGTGGATTTGAACCGTCAGCCTTCTGGTTAACAGTCAAGTGCCTTAGGCACTACGCTACCAGAGCTCCTAGGAACTGAAAATCGACCTTTATTTAAACTAGATACATGAACAGGTTAGTGCACAAGTTAGCTAAACCTAAGAATGCAAAATAAGGTTTTCCCATTCAGATTCAAACTGTTTCAATATTTTTTATCAAAGAAACATACTTTTTAGCTATAGTGATACGGATTCTGATTCTATCCATACATAAATTTTGCCCATAGGAAACATCTGATTTCTGTATTTTCTAAGGCTCTAAAAACAAAAGTGATTAAGTATCAAACTGATTTCAAGTATTTAGACTAACTTAGAGTGTAGAAAGGAAGAAAACATATCTGCGTATGTAAAATATATCTACACAGTGCCTTCAAGTGTGATTTGCAGAAGGCAGGGACAGAACGTCTATGAACATTATTCCATAGTGTATTCTGGCCATAATGTACTCTGGCCTAAGGAGGAGCAGCTAAATAGTTCTCAAATGTTAGTGTACATGAGAAGCATGTAGGAATCTTGTTAAGAATGACAATTCTCAAGCTACAACTCCCTCCACCCCCATTCTAACCCAAGACAGGGATTATAAATCTGGAAATTTTGCTGCATTTAAACTCCCTATTTATACCATTGGTACCAGTCTTGGAAACCACCTGAGGAAATAAATGAATAAATGAATAAACAAGTACAGGTCACAGGCCCTAACCCCAGAAATTTTAACTCACATGCTCACAAGTAAGCCCCAACTGTATTTTATAAAAGTTCCATCAGTGTTTCTGGCATATGGCAAAGGATGAGAAAAACTTGTCTGTAAGTTGCATGTTAAATTCTGTACACAAGTCATAAAGCTGAATAGAGAGATAAATACTGGCTATGTATGCCTTGACAGAATCTAAGTGAAAAGTGGAAATAAGATAGCACCTTAAACATGAAATATGTGAAATAAAATTATTTTCAGATAATAAAATGTCTTTTGACTTTTTTATTCAGATATTTCAGATATTCAGATTCAATGTGATGTTTATCTATTATCTTAAGCTAGAGAATTCTCCATTATATGAGAAATGTTTACTGTATTGTTTATTGTATTTAGTATAATACATTTATACTAAATTAATGTATTTAGTATAATAATGTTTATTGTATTTAGTATAATATTAAAATGACTTCCCAAGTATCAGGTTCTTTGGGAAGTGATCATACAATTGGGCAGAGTATCATAACCCAGTGAAAAAGTTAAAACATACATTAAATAGTGGCCAACAAGTCTACTCTTTTCCTCTGAGGTATGATCTATGTAATTACATTCACTGCCTAATATTTTGCCTTTGCTTTCCTTCAGACTATTGATGATAATGAATGCCTGGATGGTTATGTCTTCCGAACTTGACTGTTGTTGTTTTTTTATGTGCCGTCGAGTTGGACCTGATTCATAGCGATCCCTCCTTGGGTTTCCGAGGTGGTATCACTATGGAAGTAGATTGCCCAACCTTCCTTCCGAGGAGTGGCTAGTGGGTTTGAACCAGCAGCCTTCTAGTTAGCAAAACATTTGTCCTTGTTTCCTAGTTGAAAAAAGAGTAGAAACCTATCTTTTTTTCTCTTTAAGTGAAGTTAGATTTTCTGAGTGATAAATTGAAGAACCTAATTAGCTTTTAAGACCAGATTAACAGAAATTGGAATTATTACTAGATGAATCCATAACACTTTAAAATAAGTAAGTTAGAGTCTTAGGCTGCACTGTACAATTCATAAATGACACAGATTCTTAATAACTTTAAACAAATATGTATTAAAATTTACCATTCAATACTGCTAATTTAAGATGCCCCCTAAAGGACTTGAGCCAATTTATTTTTTTGTAAAATAACTTATCTCCATGTCCTTTCTTTTTTTGTTTCTTCCAATCTGAGAAACTGGTTGAAGTTTCAAAATACCAAGTAAAAAAGTACTTAATGCTCTAAGGAATTCTGCCAAGCACAACATATTTTCAGTTCTCTACTTGTTAACATTAAATGTAATTTTGATGCAAACTTCAATGATTTCTTTTTACTAAAAATGTTGGAAAATAGTATATCTTTAAACGTTTGTGTACTATAATCTTTCATATATGTTAGTCTTTTACATGAGTATAGACATATAAATGACAAGATTTTATATTTGGCCTTTTCTTTTTTTAACAGAGCATTAAGAAGAAAAATACAAACAAACAGGAGATGAGCACATACCTGAGATTCATTGTCTCCCGCATGAAGGAGCGGGTGAGTTCTGCTGAGGGAATCTTTGAAAAATACCCAAATGCATTTTACTCTCATTCATTCTTAAAACGTTAATGACTGAGAAGTGACAAATAAATGCACAGCAGTATGAAGTATGAAAACCACTGCTGTCATATTGCTTTGTGCAGTAAACAGTTCTTAAAAGGCTTTTAAATAATTTTGTCTTCATTTTTACATTAGATCAGAAACTTTTAAATTTATAAATTCCATTTATCAGAATGAGCATTATCATTGATAATTAGTGTTCAAATGTTACATAAATTTCAAAATAATAATAATAATAACCTTTCTACCAAAACCTTCAGAAATGCCACAGTAAGCTATACATGCATATATACTTTCCAGTTTTAAAGTACTTCTTGTTCAGATTTCTCTTCAGAAGTAGAAAATATTTTGAGTTTTAGGAATTGATATTTTGCTTGTCTTTTCTTTTGCCACATTTAAAATTTATCTAATAATCTTTTAGGCTATAGATCTTAATAAAAAGGGGAAAGACAATAAACATCCAATGTACAGGAGGCTGGTACATTCAGCTGTTGATGTTCCCACCATACAAGAGGTAAAGTCAGTTCATTTCTATTTCAAATATAGTTGGTTAATTATCAAATTAATAATTTAACAAGCAATGATTCTGGTGGTTAATGTTTCCTTTAGAGTTTTACTTAAAGAAAAACCAGCAAATGAGGAAATGTTACTTGTTTTAAATTTCATGTACTAATTCGAAAGCAAATTAGGTGTCATCTTTTAAAAGACCTGGTGTTAAGCTACCTACAGTTTCTTTAAAATTGTTTTACTGTGGTTAAAATATATATATGTATGTTGTTGTTGTTATGTGCCGTCGAGTCGGCCCCGACTCATAGCGACCCCTCCTCGGGTTTCCGAGGCAGTATCACTACGGAAGTAGGATTGCCCAACCTTCCTTATATAGGAGCTCTGGTAGCATAGTGGCTAAAGCACTTGACTGCTAACCA